TGTGTGTGTGTGTGTGTGTGTGTGTGTGTGTGTGTGTGTGTGTGTGTGTGTGTGTGTGTGTGTGTTTTCAGTAAAAAAGGACCACACACCAATAAAGACAAGTAGCCCAGTTGACCCAGTCCCTCAGAATAAATCTACTGCAGTTTCTTCAAAATTCTGCATCTGGAATACTTCAAAGCTGCTAACTGCCATGGTCCAGCCTCACAGACTACTCCAGCCAAGACTTCAGATAAGCTCTACACTTTCCCATCACAGAGACTAAGCAAAAAAATAATACAAGCTAGCTCTTCCAGAACTTGCCTGTTATCTCAAGGTCCACTAAAGATGCTGTCCCCTCCAGACAACAGGAAGCAGTCTAGATAGCATGATACTCACATTCCAAGAGATGGGATGGGTAGTTTTGGTTGGTGGGTGGATTATGGATGTTTGTCATTGTTTAGGGGGTTGGCTCAAGTTGTTATTGGTCAAGGCTGAGGAAAAAACTAAATGATTCAGGGATCTCTTTCTGAAAGGAAGTAAGGAGGATATAGGAATGAGAGAATAAAAGATTAGACCATTAAATCTACTTCTAAATTGAAAAAAAAGCAACTATTAATCTCACATTTTACCTTGGTAAGGACTTTTTATATTTATACAAATTTAAGGTGTTTTTTGTTTTAACATAGTGTGTATATATGCTGTTACTCCTGTTTAAGGTATTGTACCTATGCAGAGCATTTTAAAATGACTACTGAGAGTATACCATCCAAAGTATACAAACAGGACATAAAGAAGGTGACTGCTAAACTTCAGCAAAACAACGTAGGACAGTCCTTCAAAACTTCCTGCTTCACAGAAAAGTCTGTCAGACATTCTGGTCCTATAGGCCAAAGATGGATGTGCCAGTGTTGCAGAGAAACTTTGGGTGCCTGTCTAAGCAGCCAGATGACTCTGTCATCTCTATAGTTTGGGAAGTTGTTAGCTCTATACTTCCTGTTTACTCAGATAATATATCCTTCTCGGGTCTCTGATTGAGTTGAAGATAGTTATAGTTTCATGGTAGACCTTTTTACCAAATTCAGGAAAAATGCTACATAAGGGATGGAAAGTTTATATGGTTCAGACATATAAAAGCTTAAGTTGTTTAAGAAAATTTTTTAAGGTCTAAAAAGGTATTTTTAGGATGGTAATACAAGTTATGATAGAAAATGGTTGAGCTATAAAACTTTGGATAACTAAGACAGGATAGATACTATTTTCTCTAAATTTGCCAAATACATATGAACTGTACATTGTGAATGTAATTCTCATCCATGAATTGTTCTTATTTAATTGTTATATATTTACTGAGTTAGAGTTAAACCCTTACCTGTTTATTAGATAAAAGGGGGAGATCTTGTGGAATATTTGCTGATACTGTGTGAGTATGTGTCACTGTGATTGGTTTAATAAGGAGCTTAATGGCAAATAGGCAGGGAGAATAGTCGGGACTTCTGAGGAATGAGATGGAACTGTGAGAAGGACAGTGGGGTGGGTGCCACCAGCAAGATTCTGGATAAGTCAGACATATGGTACAGAGCAGAGGTAACTGAGCCGCGTGACAGAATGCACATTAATAGAAACAGGTTGATTTAATTTATAAGAGGTAGGTGGGGAAAAGCGCAAGCTAAGCCAGACTTTCATGATTAACAAGTCTCTGTGTAATTATTTGCAGGCTGGCGGTCTAAGGAAAAGTATGACTACATAAATGATTACATTATAAAGTGATTTAAGTATATACATATGTATGTATAAAACAAAGTGATAACAAAGACTGAAACGTATTTTGACATGTTGTATACGTGTGTGTAACAGTGACAAGGCTGAAACATGACCACACCCATCACTTCAAAATTGTAACCACTGCCCCTGTTCTTTTATTAAAACACTGGTCTGACTGACCAGTAGCTCACTAATATCCTCTACCCACTGGTGATTCCCTGTTCTGTGCTTCTAGATGAACTGAGGTAAAATTTACATATAAGTGAATGGAGAAACACATAGGTATGACATCACATTCAATGGAAAAATAAAATAAGTAGATAACCACAATGAAGAATATGATCCCAAAAGAATGAATTCCTGCAATTCATGGCAAAGTGGACAGAACTGGAGGGTACCATTGAAAGATTTTAGTTCACAGAGAGAAAAGTTTCCTACAGGCCTTGGCCTTGGAAGTTCAGTAAATGCCCATTAAAGTTGGGCATGGCAATGTGCACCTCTAATCCATCTACTGAGGCTTCTGAGTGGCCTGTGTAATACTCATCTCAAAAAAAAAAAAATAAGTAGAATGAAAAGAATACCTACATCTCTAGTGGGGTGGGAACCTGGTACAATTCTAGCTCAGCGAGGCCCTGGGCATAAGCACCACCTCATTGCCCACCACACACACAGATCAAAGCCCATCCCCATTTTTTAAGTGGGCTGTTTTCATGGAGTCTTGTTTCAGGTTTTACGTTTTGGCTAGTAATTCACTGTTGGATATCTGGCAAACAATTCCTACTCCATACTCAGAGGGAAACACCTGACGCTAAGTAACAAAGGCCTGTTCACTGAGATCACAGCACCGAGGTTCTTCTTGGGCAGTCATGGGAGGTTTCACAATGATGACCGTGCTAAGTACAGAAGAAGGAGCACACTAGGACACAGGAAACAAAACAGATGCTGTTACTGTATCATCCGGCAGCTGTTTCTGTGTGTAGATCTAGAATACTGAGGATTGTATTCATGGGTGTTGGGAACCTTTATTCTTTATTACTGAAGTAGCAATTAATATTCAAGGCATCAACTCCAGAATATTTGTTACTACAAATTGGGCTGTGTGTAGAATATATCCTGGGTGATTTGTATTCTCAGATTGGCCCCAGAGAAAGGAAATTCCTTCTCACAGGGGAGTCAGCAGTAAGAGCTGGAGCCTCCTGATCTCACAATACATACTTAGCCTTAGTTTTCCCCTTTGATTTGGCACACTGAGAAGCCCCATTTAACAGTTAATAGCACAAGTTGCAAGTCACGTCCCTGTCTGAGGCTTAAGTTTGTCAGGATGTTTTGCAAGTCATGTCCTGTGAGGCACCTGCTTTTCTCAAGGTCCTACCTGCCTTCCTTGCTCTGAAAGATATGCAAGTCCTATTGTGAGAGAGTTCTTAAGTGTGCCTGTAGATATAAAAACTAGAAGACTTGTGGGACACCGGAGACCTCAGGAGAACTTTTAGAAGAAGGAACCTTTGGAGACTTTTTAGAAAGAACTTTTAGAGAATTTTTAAGGAGAACTTTAAGAGAGAGCTTTTAAAGGGAAAATTATTAGAGAGAACTTTTAAGGAGAAATCATAAAGAGAGCTTTGGAGAGAGAACTTTTTGGGGAGGCCTCCAGTTTTGAAGAACAAAGAGCCATGAGAGGAATATGTATGTGAGCCTATTTATTTCCATTTCGCCCTCAGACTCCTTTTAGAAAAACCCAACCCAGCTGCTGCATAGCCCCTAGCCTGGAATCCGAGAGAGCATCAAGGCTGGAACTTGAATGCTCTCGTTACGTGGGATGCTTGTACTATTAGCAGTGTTATTTTTAGCAGCTAAAGTTATTAATGAACCTGTGTGTGTGCTTCACCAGTTGACTCTTTTTGTTGTTATGAGTTTTTATTGTCCTTCAGAAAAAGGAAGTTCTAATTGCAAGAATATCTATCAGCCACTATTTTACTGGACAAAATGAGCCAAGCAGGGAACTTTCACATGTTGTTTTGTTAGCCTAATTATTTTATGTTCTGGTTTTTATTTTCATCGGGACAGAGTCTCACTACATAGTTCTGAAGGGCTTGGAAATCATTTATGTAGATCAAGCTGGTCTCAAACTCATAAAGACCCACCTGCCTCTTCCTCTCAAGTGCTACAATTAACGAATGCACCATCAGGCCCAACATAGCCTAATTATTTCCTAACAGCCCCATCTTACTAATACAGCATTATGTTCAGCGTCACTTACTTCCAACTAGATTCACCTCTTCAAAGTCCTACGCCAGGCAAGCATGGAGGACCAAACATGTAATCTCATCACTTTTCAGGCCGAGGCAGGAGACCTGAGAGTTCCTTGCCAGCCTGGTCTGCAGGGATATACCTTTCCACCCATCCTCCTCCTCCTTCACAGAATGATCTGAAACACTTTTCATCGCCACAGGAGAGCCAAATCCTTCACCCTGAACCTTTTGGTCTGAACACAAAGTGTATCTGAATTACAGCACCTTTGTCAAAACTTAATTAACTGTCCATCACCAGTACCTCATGCATCTAACCCTAGCACTCAGAAAGCTGAAGCAGATTCTTTCCAAGAGTTTATGGACTGCCTGGGCTACATGGTGAGTTTCAGATAAGCATGAAATCCTACATCAAATACACAAATAAGAAATAAGGTTTTAAAAAAACAAAAACAAAAACAAAAAAACCTACCTGGATACCACAAGAGCTAATGGCTAAAGTTTTGTACCTGGAAAGAATAGTGACAGACTTTTATTTGCCACAGAATCCTTGTGCTTGCCATTATGCAGTGGTGAAGCTTCCACTTTGCCCGGAGAGCTAACCTGCACTGACAGCTCTGATCTGCTCCTGTCCATGTGGTTGGTTATTATTGATTCACTCTGCACAGCCCAGGGCCCTTTCTCTTGGTCCAACATAGACATAACATTCACATAAGGAAGTGTTACTCCTGTTTATAAAAAAACAGTAAGACCATCTACTGATACTTGTGGAGAATCTCTATGCTAATGGGAGAAGAGATCATGCTTCACATGAATCTACAAAAATACTTCAGAAAGTCTTTACTGCCAGACTCCTTCTGGGAGTTTATTGGACAGATACCTCATTATCTACCAATAACCAGTGAATCAAATGCTCAGAGAGAGAAAGCAAAGAATTGCATATAGTGGGAATCTAGTAGAGTCATTTGAATCTAGGGAAAGCATAGAATGTATATTTAGGGCAAGAGTAGAATGTACTAGTGTTTGTTGAAAGTACCCAGACCTTAAGGAAAATCACAGTAGAGAACAGTGACTTTTTTCTATGACTTAGAGTTTAGAGTTGTTTTTCTAAAGGGGTTACCTATCTGTTCCATGGCTTTGGTCACCAGACTATCCAGAAACACATGAAGTATTACATTATTAGGTACTGCAAACAGTACAGATTAAGGACGAAAGGTTACAGGGGTATAATGATTTCCTTCAGAGAACATACCAAATAGATCAAAGGGGCTTTGTACGAGGAATTTGCTGTTCCCCAAACACAAACTTTGTGTACAGTCAATACACGTTTGAACAGAGGTTCAAAGTTCAGTTCACTGGAACTGTTCCTCCCTGCAGAGAGACAGCCTAAAATTACATCTCGGAATGGCTATCCCCCCTTGAATATCCCAGGTGACAAACAACACCCGACATTGGATACTTTAAATATGTACCTAGGTGCCATGAGTCATGCATAGTGACATATGCCAGTAATTCTTAAACTAAGGAGCATGAGGAAATAGGACTTCACTTCAAGGCTACTATATTATACAACCCCCCACACCAAAACACAAACAAGATTTACCATAAGGGCCAGGAACATAGCCCAGTGGCAGAGTGCACACTAATGCAAAAGTCTTGGGTTCTATTCTCAATGCAGAGAGGGAAAGAAGAGGAACAGAGGAAGGAAGAAAAGAAGAGAGGCCACATGGTTCCACAAAGCCTGGAAGGAAAACTGCAAAGTTACATCACAAATATCTCAACTCTCTGAGAAAGTCATCCTTACCCAGGGAGACGAGGTTGCTGTAGTTCTCCAACATAACATCTCTGTGCAAAGCCCTTTGTGCAGGGTCTAGGCATTCCCACTCCTCCTGAGAGAATTCTATGGCCACATCCCTGAACGTTAACTGTCCCTAAAAGGAAACAAACACATTTTACCAAGAGAACATTTAGGATCTTTACAAAGAGTTGAAAGAAGAGAAGAGAAGAGAAGAGAAGAGAAGAGAAGAGAAGAGAAGAGAAGAGAGGAACCCACCTCTAAGCTGTGAGCTTACAAACTGAATGTCTTTGTCTAGCTCGGACATATAGTTCACCTGGCATCTCCAGAGTGATAAGGATGGACTTGTGTCCAAGGTTGATGCTGAAAGGTGAAATGAGGTCCTGAGTTACAGGAAGGTTGCTGGGCCCCAAGACAACAAAGACAGGAGTAGGTCCAAACTTCAGGCCTTACTCCCCATGCTCCATGGAGAGGAGAGGGGTTGAACGCTCAAGTGAATACCAATGATGAACGTATTAAATAGTATGTGAGTGATGGAATGTCCAAAAACCTCAAAGCACAGAATTTAACATTCTTTCCCCACATTCTGCTGTGGGGTAAGTAATAAAGCTTGGCTTACCCAAGGAGGGGGGTGAAAGTCACAGCCCATCTCCCATACCTCACTGTTTCTGTCTTCTCTGTCCAACAGGTCATCTCTAGTTAGTGGAATGTCCGTTATAATAAATGGGTAAAGAGTTTCCCTTAGTTTTGTGAGCTGCATTAGAAAAAGAGCCATAAACCAGGGGAGGGAGCTAGATAGATCCTTGATGAATGCAGTCTGTGGTGCTGCATCCTCTTGCTGTTTAGTGTCAGAACAACTGAATTAGCTGACACTGGCCTGCGGGATGCTGCAGAATTACTTGTCTGGTATATGAGGAAAACCCCACACGTGGGCTAGGCTAAGCTTTCTGTTTAATGAATGTACAAAGAGAAACTGACCTTGTCTCGCCTATGTTCCTACATTAAGATGCACCTGAACAACACTGTATCACCCTAGTGTTATTTTGCTTTGCTGTGAGATATTATGGTATCATGCCCCAATGCATTTCTCATATTTGTAGATAATATGAAGAAAAACAAACAAACAAAAGACAACAGAGGGTCTGCCCCTTCTATTCACCTCACACTCTGATATGTTCCCTCTGTCCTCTAAAGCCTTTTTTTTTATCCTCATTTACCCAATCCTCCTAACTACCTGCAGCATGAATTCTAATTGGTCTTAACAAAAACAAAACAAAACAAAACAAAAAACAAAACAACAACAACAACAACAACAACAAAAACCAGTCAGCTAACAGGGTAGAAACTGGAAGACCACAGAGGCAGAGCAACCAGCCACTAGTTCTTACCTCTACTGCATCCTCAGCCCAAATCTGCGGTCCTGTCCTTACAAATCCTGACTGAATGCAACGCACTACTGTCTCCAGCTGCCTTACATCCCTCTCTTCCCCCAGCCATATCCCTTCCTGTCTGCATCTCCTTAGTGCTGGGATTAAAGGTGTGTGACTCCCAAGTACTGGGATTAAAGGTGTGAGCCATCACTGCCCGGCCTGTTTTCTCTCTGAGACTGGATCAGACTAGTGTAGCCCAGGGCGGCCTTGAAATCACAGAAATCCATCTGCCTCTACCTCCCAATTGCTGGGATTAAAGGTGTGTGGCAACACAGCCTGGACTAACTAATGGCTAACTAATGGATTAGCTCTACACTCTGATTCAGGCAAGCTTTATTTATTAGATCACAAATAAAATATCACCACATACTACTTGGTTCCCATTTGATAAAAAGAAACAACAACAACAACAACAAAAAAAAACCAAAAAGGAAATCCCACAGGTTCATCTCAATTCATGTGGTAGATAAAGATGTTGGATACACCCAGTGTCTTCAGAGATGAAGCCATGGAACTTCAAGAAGTCATCTCACTGCCTGGGACAGCCTTGCAACCCCAACACTTTGAAGGCTGAGGTAGGAGGATCTTTACGAATTCAAGGCCATACTGGACTACACATTGAGTTCAGGGCTGGAGTGTGCTATATTATGCTTATTATTTTATGTTTCAATGTTTGCTAGGATGTATGTTTGGGAACATGTATACCTGGTGCCTGAGGAGGCTGGAGGAGGGTGCTAGATCCCTTGACACTAGAGTTAGAGATGGTGATGAGCATCCATGTTGTCCTGGAACTCACTCAGTAGTCCAGGCTGGCCTTGAACTCAGAGATTCACCTGCCCCTGCCTCCTGAGTGCTGAGATTAAAAGCACTTGCCACACTGCCCAACTGGTTTTGGTGTTTTGAGACAGAGTTTTTCTGTGTAGTTCTGACTGTCCTGGAACTTCCTCTGTAGACCAGGCTGGCCTTGAACTCATAGAGACCCCCCTGCCTCTGCCTTCTAAGTGCTGGGATTAAAGGCATGCACCACCAATGCCTGGCCAATAAAAATCATTTTATAAACAAAAAAAGCTGAAAGTACAGCTCAATGGTAGAGTGCATGTCTAGAATGCACAAGGTTGTGTGTTCACTCCTCAGCACTAAAACTACGTGGGGGAAAACAAATATATTAAACAAATCCAAGCATTTCAATTATCTTATCACCATTTTCTCCAGCAGGCAGAAAGTAGAGCGGAGCCTAGCCAGGTATGCAGCCATCATCACTACACAGTGAGAGGAAAATCCACAAGGTGATGGAGAGGACAGCACAGAGGTAGATTTGCTAACATTAGCACGCAATGTTGTTACGACATAGAACCAGGTAAGCATAGGAGTGGAAGACAACAAGACTATATTTCCTCATCACAGTCTCATGACACGTGTACTCCAACAAAGAAGACTCTGTTTTTCTTTTGGAAATCACCCTCAGTTATACACAGATTTAACAATATGTGGACTATGAAAAATGCAAACACTGTTGATTTTAGCAGTGAAATCAGAGATGGTGAGACAACACAGCAGCCATTTAAGAGGGTTGAAGTCTAGAAGGGCCATTTGGAGGACCAATGTATCAGAAAGCCTGGTTCAATCACAATGTGGGTCCTCAGTGAGGAAAATGAAGACATATCACTGATGACTGTGAGAAGTACGTATATTCATTTACAGAATTTTCCCACAAGACTGTGGAAAGTTGGGGGTGGTAACCTGCTCTTGTAAAACCAGACCTCTGGAGGTTGAGACAAAAGGTTTTACGATAAGGTCAAGGCCAGTCTGGACAACATAGAGTTCCAGGAAACAGAGTGAAATACTGTCACAAAAGAAATGAGTAAGCTGGCAGCTGATGGTAGTGCACGTCTTTAATCCCAGGGATTGGAAGGCAGAGGCTGGCGGATCTCTGTGAGTTCGAGGCCAGCTTGGTCTACAAAGCAAGTTCCAGGACAGCCATGACCATTACACAGAGAAACCCTGTCTCGAAAAACCAAAAAGGAAAAAAAAAAAAAAAAAAAAAAAAAAAAAAGAAAAAGAAAAAGAAAGAAATAAGAAGTTTTACTTCCTTCCTAAAAATAAAAGATCCTAAAAAGTACTCTTACATGAACTCTTGCCAGAAATGGTGCTGTGGTTTCCTGATGTCTAAGACATGGGAAGAAGAAAAGAATAGGCAAGGAACAGAATGCTGTATCTCATTTCCTAAAATTCAGGACTGCTTCCAGACTTATGAGTCATGTTCAAGTTATGCATTCAAAGTTTTATACTTGAATATTCATTATTAAGAGGAGGAAAATCATACTTTTTTTATTACAAGCACAAATGCTGCCATGCTTGAAATATATGAAAGGGCTGGAGAGATGGCTCAGAGGTTAAGAGCACTGACTATTCTTCCAGAGGACTTGGGTTCAAGTCCCAGCACTCACACGGCAGCTCAAACCTTTCCCTAAGTGCAAGACCTGGCATCCTCACACAGACATGCATGGAGCCAAAATCCCAATGTACATAAAGTAAGAATAAATAATTTAAAAAGGAGAAAAATATAAATACTTTTACACCAAATGTGAGCTTCAGAAGAGTCCCACGGCAACAGCAGGGTCTGCAGGATGAAGTACTCAGAGTGTTTACAGAACCCCCTACTGTTGCACACTCAGGCTGGTTCATATGGAGAGCTCAGGGAGTACAGTACTGCCTGGGAAGCATGAGGACCGGAGCTTGCATCCCCAGCATCATGTAAAAGCTGAGTACATCTGTAAACCCAGTGCTGTACTGGTGGAGAGACAGATCCATGGAGCTTGTTGGCCAGCTAGATTAACCAGTTAATGAACTCCAGATTCTGCGAGAACTGGTTTATCAGAAAAAAAAAAATTAGTAAGCCACTCAGCAAGATGCCCCCATACATACACATGCCTGCATGAGCATATACTCACATGAGCAAGTACATAAAACACATCTACAAAGAGATAATGATAGCTTTTCGAGTCTTGTACTATCACACTCAGGAACCCCGCCTGAGCTACATAGGAAGATACTCTCACTCTGAAAACTGGGGTGATAAATCATTTATGATTTATTGAACTTGCCTGAGGATTCAAGAAGCAAGGTCAGCAACAAGCTAAAGAGGTCAGAAGGTTATAGCTCTAATCCTAGGATTCAGGAGATAAAAGCAGGTGGATCTCTCTGAGTTCAAGGCCACCCAGGGATACATTAGAGTTCATCAGTCTAAAAGAGAATTAGAGCTCACACCGTTAATCCCAGGACTCATGAGAGGCAAATAAAACAGGAGCAAGGTCTCAGTATCAGGTATTCATTCTCTAGCCACATTGAGGATAGAAAAACATTCAGTCTCAGGATTCCCCAGCCATGCTGAGGAGAGGCAGCAGGATCAACCCATTCAGCCTGAGGTAGTGATAAGAGCTAGTGACTCCCTACTTTGCTTTTTTGACCTTCAGCTTGAAGTTTGAACCCCAATATCTGCCTCTGGGTCTTTTATGAATTCACGTTACAGAAAACAAGTGGGGGGGAAAAAAAAACCTACCATCTTCTTGGTGAAATACAACACCTTCCATCCCTTATTCCATTTTCAGTTGTTGAGATGTTCTCTTGGAAACAATGACCACTGACATTATTACCTGCAGTGCAGTGTTCTACGAAGAGTGTAATTTCACAGAAAGGTCTCCTTTCCCCCATAAATCAATAAGTATCTCTGTATGCACATTGGCATGTGACTTGCAAGTGTAGCTTCTTTTAGTTACATCTAGAGAGCTAACAGTGCACTTAGACAGTGGCCTAGTCCACCTAGTCAATCCTTACTAGGCAGCCTTTAGCACAAAGGCTGCTCCCAAGTTCTATATTACAGGATCACTGGGAGAGGAAATCCAGTGAAGACAACAGAGGCTAAGGGAAAACATGAGTGAAGTGTCCAGTCTACACTCAGTGCAGGCCAGCAGGTTCCATACCTAGCACTTCAAGGAACAGAGAAACAATGGGGGGGTGTGGGAGGGGGGCAGTGGCTCACTGTACCTGCACGGCAGCCATTCCTGGTTCTTTCTGTTTCTTCCTTCTCCCAGCTTCTTCCTTGAGTAACATGAGTGTTTAGAAGTCAGTCCTGAATACCAAAAGCATAAAATTAAGTAGACTACATCTTTGCAAAGTGATTTGATTAATTAAACCCCTTACATCCTGAATAATAATAATAACAACAATAATAATATTAATAAAAGCATGAGCCTAGTGGTATACAAATACAGTCCTAGTACTAAAGTCAGAGGATGTGAACTCAAGGCCTGGACAAGCGAGTGATTTCCAGGCCATGTCTCAAAATGGTAAAATTATAATGTTCTGGATGAACATAACCACTTTATTTCTCTTTTGGAGATGAAGACCTAATATAAAACCCAGCTGGCCCTGAATTCATGATCTTCCTGCTTCAGTCTCCTGAGTGCTGGGATTGCAGGTACATTCAAACCAGCTCAGCAAGGCACCCACCACCTGAGCCACTGAGAGAACTTCGCTGTAGCCCACTGCACCAAGGAGACACAGGGACAATAAAACATTGCAGGAGGGACAACAGGAAGACTTGACACTTTTTTTTTTTTTCAGAACTTGATCCCTTCTCAGGAATACAATGCTGCCTCTGAACACACCCCGGAATGCACACTGGTACATACACAGACCCATATGACCACGTAGACATGATAAAGTAAATGCAGGAAGGGATATTCAGCTGAGATTCGGAAAGAACACAGTCGTCCTACTTGACCTATTAATGCTTATAAGAGGCTTATCTGGAATAGCCACCTGTTTCCTTTGTATTGTTCCTTATAATGAATAAACCTAACTGCAGTGTTTCCCTGAGAATCTAGAGCTGAGCATGCAAATAACAGCAGGAGAGCACAAGCTGATGGTAGGTTCTACTCAGGGCACGGGAGTCGGAGTGAAAAGGGGGCGGTGGTGTGGGGTTGTGGCATTTGATACCCTCTTCAGGTAGTGATCCAGGTATGAACTAAATCATCCAAAATTAAGTTAGTGTCTGACAGAGAGCTGCCTGAAGATGGCCAGAGGAAACGCATTCTATGCTGAACGTTAACTGTTAGGAAAAGGAAAACAGAAACAAAAATCCCAC